GCGCTCTTTGAAAGAAATGGAAGTAAAATCGTTCATGTTCGTCCGCCGCGTTACGAGGAGCACATGGCGCCAGGAACATGCGACGACGTGGCGCCACTCCTGTTTTCCCGCAATGTTTATCCGGAAATTCAGCAGTTTCGTTCTCGTCTTATCACCGTGAGAGGTTACTTTATGGGTCGCGGTTATTTCGAGGCCGCTGTGTTACAGCTGCTACTTCGTAAGAGAGCGAGAGAGAGAGAGAGAGAGAGAGAGAGAGAGAGAGAGAGAGAGAGAGAGAGAGAGAAAGAAATACAGAGAAAGGAAAAGAGGAGATGCAGTAATATTACGCCAAAATAAAAATTCGTATTACGAGGATATCCGCTTTATGCTCACAGAGCTTCGCCAATTTGACATTCTACCAAATTCGTATTAGCGATCTCTCGCACTGCCAGCATAACCGCCTACGCGTGTTCAATCTCGCACAATAAGCTCTATTCTGTAATGTCAGATTATTTACACGTCGTCCGAGTTGATTTGCGACTCGCACAATTCTGCTGCCGGATAAATAGCTCGAAGTTTACTCTAATGCGTGCGCGTTGCGACGTGTATTGTGCACGAGTATTTCCTGACCATTGTGTTAAATCACGAGTAATGTGGACGTCGTGACTCGCCCAGGAAGCATTACGGCATTCCGTGTACTGAAACGTAGTTTGTTGAACTGTCATGGCATAGTCGCGCGATCCTGTGAGCGTGTGTCGCTATCCGTAGCTTGTGCGAATTTAATTTCTGTCGTCGATCGTGCGACACGTTACTCTTCGCTCGCCCGTACGGAGACTCATTTTCTTGGATATCTTGGTAAAGTCACGGTCGAGCTCGAAAGAGGAGAAAGATAAATAGGGAGAGCAAAAGGCGAGGAAATTGAGAGAGAGAGAAAGAAACAAGGAGAGAAGCGAGTGGAGAGAGAGAGAAAGAGAATGAGAGAGAGAGAGCGAGGACCAGTCTCCCTCCGTGCAAACTTCCTGCATCGCGCCGCGCCGTTGGCATAATAATTTTCTCATATTCATATTCATAAGTACCGCATGCATATTCACAATAAATTTCCCAGCAGAATCGCTGTGGTGGAAAGTGTAAATTATTTCGTAGCAAATTGAAAGCTGCCGCTGCGCGCGGATGTTCAGCACGAGCGCGCGACGTCCTCTCGGCATGCCGAGTCGTTTCTAAATTGCTTAAGTCAGTTTAATGAGAAATCGTCAATTTCAGCATCCCGCACGCGGACAACCTAAAAGTGCAACATGCGAGCGCGCAAGATACAGTTGTGCTTAATTAATTATAGTTCTTAATTCGGTTTATACTGAACAGTGCCGCGAGCTCGAGTTGGCGAGTACACAGCGAAGTTATAGATGCGGACGATATCATAAGTTATTACAACAAGTTGTGCACGCAAGGAAACAACTCCAAATCGAAATTTTAATCTTACTTTCAGCATTACCATTCAACACGTATTGTGATACTCTGAAACTTACATCAGTCTCTTTTGATTCTATTTAACTGATTCAAATCAAATTTTGATTCAACTTTCAGCTTCACTGTTCCATACAACATCTATTTTGATACTCTGAAGCTTATAATAACAACCTATTTCGACACTAAAGAAAGTAAAAAGGGAAATTTCGGATATCATCAGAGTCAAAGCAGGAGTAAATTGTATCATTAGAATTAAACCTGTTTTGCTAACTTAACTCCTACTATGATGTGTAGAATTCAAAATTTAACAATGACCCAAATTTCGACTTTTGAACGTTTAAATTTAATATCTTTCAAAACGTGAAAATTTAATATCTTTCGATTTCTGTGAAAGATTGCTTAACTTTGGACACATGAAAAGTGTCGCGATTCTCGCAAGGTGTCATGAATAATCTTCGTTAAAGAATGAGGTGGAAGCGCTACCGAGATTATTCGATTTTTAGAATAACAAGCTCTCGATGTTTGTTTTGCGCCGTGCACATTCGTTCCGCTTCGAAAACGAATGATGCGATAAATTTCGTTATATGCGGGACGGCATGAATCTTCCTGAAATCTCTGTCCTGATACACGTATCGTTGAATCTTGCCAGCACGTGCATGGCACTAAAAACAAATCCAGTGCTTTGCGAGAGGCCGCTCGCATTAAAGCCTAAAACGTATCAGACGACTTTCTCCAAATAACTGGATTTTCCAGTTCGAATAACACTGTAGTCAGAAATGGGCATGTTTGTCATGCGATTATTCTTATCTCTGTTAAGAAAACCGATGTTAACTCGAATGCAACATACAACTGAAAGATTAATTTATTGCAGCGATTAGGCATGTGAGGTATTTTTGATAATAATTTTGTCGCATCGAGTATCATTGAATTCTCTCTCTTTCAATTTAAAATATGTGCTCAGTGTAAGTCGTCTTTTGAATATGAATTTTGTTGCTTCAAGGAAATACTATATTTGTAAACTTCACCGACAAAGCACTGGCCTTTCTCGGTAAAGTTTACGTCGTTGCTTGCACAGAATTACAAATTCTTTTGTACAACAAAAGTACGAGCAAAAATGAATTGGACCAATTGATAAAAAATTTATATCCCCAGCTCAGTAGCGTAAGTATTTATCTGATTAAAAAATTCCCCGGCTTACATACGTTTTTATCACATTAAATCTATTGTTTGTTCACACTCAAAAAAATTTCAAATAACATTACTATACCTTTACTAACTAAATCTAGAAAAGCTTAAAAATATACAAAGAGTTTGTAGAAAAATTTCTACACTAAGAGAAAAAATATCTAAAAATTATTAAATATTTATTTAACGGTGGTAGTATTTATAACAGTATATTTACTTACACTAACGTAAAATATAATTCAAATAATAAAATATACATTTTCTTAAAATTTTAAGAAAACTTTTGTTTTTCATGAAAGCAATTATTTATCCTATTTAACTAAGAGAATTTAGATTTAAGTAAATATGCTATTAGTGTCCCACCTATTAAATGAATATTTACTAATTTTTAGTTATTTTTTCCTCTCAATGCATATGCGTTTATGTTCTCCACTAAGAGCCAGTTTTTTTCAATGATAGTTTAAACTTAAATTCCAAACTTTAAACTTAGATTTCAACTTAAATTCTGTTTAAACAAAGCAAACGTATTGTTAGAATAGAATTTAAACTTGAATCCAAGTTTAAATTGCTATTGAAAAACTGGCCCTAAGTATAGTAAAACAAAACAGCACATTATTTATATGAGATGTATACGTACAAGAAATACGAAAAAGAAGAGTTTGATCGTATTAGTGACGATCGCTCCTACATTATCGACATTTTTCGAGTTTGCCATCCACGTTGACATCCCCTTAATACGATCATCCTTTCGACTTTCATCGCATCGATAGTGACGATGTAAGATCGACCACCAATCGATCTTGCATTACTATGTCAACGTCGCTCGAACAGATTTTTTGCTACGAGTCGCAAAGTAAGACAACCGAGTGTCTCAAGTACCTCGGCGAGCACCGAGTCGATGTTTCCTCCCGACGCGCAGGGGATCCCGTCTTTTTAGGGGTCTATCACATAACTGCTTGAAAAGCTACCCGAGCCGGAAGCTCCCGTTTTTCAGACGGCACCTTATCGTGGACTTTCGGGTAGTTCTCGAAATGACCGAAAGACTTTCGAGCAAGTCAATTCCGTGATCGCTGGTGATCGTTACCGTTTGTTTTGTCGTGCTCCTCAATTGTACGTCGATTCTCAGAGAGATCTTGACTTAGGCCCATATTCATAGTCGAATCTTATTTCAAGATCGTTTTAAGTAATGTCTTAAGATGCGAATACGGCTCTGTAATTGGTTCATGACATCTTAAGATAGTACTTAAGATGATCTTAAATATAAGATCGGACTATGAATGCCGGCTTTACACACGGAAATGCACGCGGCACTGATGTCGGAAACTCGCGTTTCTGATCAGAAGTAGTCTCACGACTGGTCCCTTAGGACCCTAGGATTCAATAAATCGGGCCTCTTTCCAAAAAACCCACGAACTCGTACGACGGACGCATCGTCCGTCTTTCTCCCCCGCTCGACTCGCTCGATCGCGCTGTCATCGTTTGTCTCTGTCGTTCTCGCTGACCGGGCCACCACCACTCGTTCACTCCTGTCAAAGCTAACTTCTCCCCCGGCAGGGTGAACTCGGCGGCGAATCGGGTCCAGCGTCGGTTTCTTGCTGGGGAGCTGACGGAGGGTGCGAAATTTTCCAAGACAGTACGCGTGTGTGTGTGAGAGAGAGAAAGAAGGAGACGGGATAGCGCGGCAGGAAGAGAGGAGGTAAATCGAAGAGAGATCCAGGTGGTGGGAGCGAGACAATGCAGGACGAGGAGAAAGAGAGAGAAAGGAGGCGATAGTGGCGCTTTAGAATCGCGCGCAAGAGAGACGGGGTGAATGAGATGACTGAGACACGGTGGTGGTGGTGGTGGTGGTGGTAGTGGTGGTGGTGCAGACGGGAAGGAGGGAGCAGAGGTATCGGTTTATCGTCAGAGAGGGGAGGATAGTAATAGAAGAGCGGACTAACTACAGCGGAAAAAAGATACATTGGTCCAAAATGTAAAAGAGAAGGAGCCGAGAAAGTAAAGGACAAAGGGCGCAGGATGATACGACATGAGCGAGAGGGTTCAAATCATACGACGGGGATCGTCGAGAACAGGACGTGTGATGAAGCGAGAGGCGCGGAACGCGAGATTCAGACGGCGAGAGGAAAGACGCGGAGAGAATGTCCGGAGTCCCTCTCGGACGTGGACGAACGAAGAGCGCGCGGCGACGAGTGCGCGACGAGGACGAAGAGCCCCGAGAAGTTGAGGGAGGACCGCGAGAGAACTCACGGGTGAAGGCAAGGAGGAGAGGGCTTCGGGAGGATAAAAGAGGGTGCGCTTTCGCACCCCGCGGAAGGACGAGAGGGTTGTGGAGGCCCGTGGTGGGGGAGCCAGCTGCCACCGCACAGCTACACCCACGGCGACGTTCGAGGCGAACCTCAGTCGTCCGCGCACCCTCGAACGGTGAGGGTGGTCGTGCTCGGTGGTGAGTAGTACCTTGACGTTCTCTCGCCGTTGCCACCGAGTGGTGCAAGAACCGTCACACTCCGCCAGCTGACCCTCGACCCTGTGCGACGTCCCTGCCGACGTCATAGCTGTGCGGGCATTCGACCCTTGGCGGCTGACAAAGGGTGAGTAAAGCGTCCGGCTGGAAAGCCTAAAGGGATCAATCGAGACGCCGCTCTTTCGAGGCTCCGCTCGCGCTCTCAACGGTCAGGCTCGGTCGAGTGCGAGATTTTCGCACAGTTGATTGAAAGATCTTTGGCGAGCGAAACCGTTGAACGGTGGTGACACCGGGAGATGTTGAATTATGAGGTGAGACGGTATGCGCCAGAGATGACTTTATGAAAGGGGAGCTAACGCTGATTCATCAGAACGAGTTGAATGCATATTTGAGTACATCGCGCCGCTGCAAAATTCATAACCGAGCTTTCTCCGTATAATTACATCCAGTCATTCAAGGGGTGAACTTTGCTGATAAGCTGTGAATGATGTCGCGATGTAGGAAAGTTTCTTGCGGCTCTTTGCGCAAGGATATTTCGCGCGATTTCTCTTTAGCGTGAAGGTGATATAGCGTCTCTCAACAGATTTCGAGAGATTATATTTGATTTGGCGGCCTCATGCTCTAAAGTTCACGAACCAATCGATGTCAAGACTCTACTACGAAACAGGGGCATTTATTGGCGAGTAGATTGTTAAGAGAATTAAGCATAAATTGCGATTCCCTCCTTCCCCTCGCCTCCTGTGTGTACACTTGTTAAAATTGACAACCGGAAAATCTTGCCCGATGAATTGCTAAACGCGAACGAGATCACACTTGAAACAGACGGATTTATCGGAAAATAGCTCAGACTGCACGATAGGGAGTAATTGTCGCTTCGTTAAGAACTTGTTATGCATCGATTGTCCAAGTAGCGCGATTGGACAATTAGAGAGATTGGTGTGATGCAATTTTTGTTTATCACAGTATGGTTAATCGGGCTTATTAAAGTTCATCGTTTGGGTATCGATTCGACTAATTGGCATAGGCGGCACGTTTGCTCGGTTTTGATATGACAGATCCGCATATATTCGCATTTGTTATTGAATCACTTCATTATGTAGCGCACGGAGGAGACACTAGAGCTATCGCTTGGCTAAACATGGTTACCGCAACAAAATATTGACGTTACTTTTCGCATACAAGATAGTTGTAATAACCATAGTATCCTGGAGATGCTACACTTATCTCTTTTTCTACTTGTTTATACATATTTGAGCGGAACTCTCAGTGCTGGCGCAACCAAATCTTACACATAAAAAAATATCATTCTACTGTTAAAAAAGCGATTATTCAGTTTACTTTCTTCCTTTCAAGTAACGGTTATCTTCATCAAAAAATATTTTCTTGATAATAATTTTAAAATGTACTCATCAGAAATTTGGGGAAAGCTCATTATCAAGCATTCAAGAGAAGAACTTGTTCTCTTTAGAAGAATATCATATAAAATTTTATCGGAGAAAAAGTTGGCTCGAATCTAATGTAATAAGCAAACTGAACTTTTGTTTTAATTTAATACTTTTAATTGAAATGTTAAACTTGCAGAAATTCGGGATGTATTCGGGATGTATATATTCTGAATATGTTTATAGATGAAAACAGCAATTTCTAATGCAATATCTATTTAACTTGAATTTATATGAAATGTTTCTTTTATAAACATAGAGAATGTAGTTGTTGCAATCATGTCAGTTTTCCCCGTGCGTTAACGCGAAATATATGCATTGTCATTATCATTAGAGCAACCATCGATCACTGGTATTTTAAATACTTTTACCTCACTTACTTCGTCGATGTAAAAATGGATGCATGAAAAATGCATAACTGTTCCGCGTCGGAAGCTTTTACAATCATGTCTCGAACTTTCCCGTAGACTTACCGTAAAAATCATATAGCCGTTAAAAATTTAGCCTGTCAAAAGTTAACGGCGCTTATCCGATCTGCTGGAAATGGACGTAAAATGGAAGATCCGGATCGAAGGTACGCACAATTGCCGTCGATAATTCTACTATTTCGCGCTTGTCTGGAAATGAAGTTGCGACAAACGTCGCCGCGTTTCGAAGCGGGCCCGGTGTGTTCGAGAGGCTCGCATGGGGGAGATATCCTGAACGTGTTTGCCTTGCTCGCGGAAGCAGAAAGCGAGGTTAAAGGAGGTGGTGCTTTTTTTCGTCTTTCTGCCACGACTTCCTCGCTGCGGCCATTCATGGTAATCGATACCCGATCGTGGAGACGTAACTCACATTGCGTCCGATTGTTCGCAAATGCGAGGCAGTCTACTTTGCCTTGAAATTTGCACAGCTGTGTTGGTGTTCTAACTCACCTTTGCTGCAATTAGGATAACGTACACAGCAAGCGAAATAAAGCGAAGAATAAGAACGATATAATTTCAAATTTTGCTACAATAGATACGCGGTAGTGAGTTCATTCGCGAGCAAACGAAACACGCTAATCGAAGTAAAGGGTCATTTCTCGCGTAGCTACCGCAAGTTGAACTCTTCAAAATTATAATCTCCGCTTCCCGTCTTTGTAACAGTGTTACAGTCATCAATTTCACTAAGCTACTGCGTGCAGTACACTTTCACGTCGGATATTTCTGCGTCACTTCTCCCGACTTTTTCAAAAACAAAAGAATTGTTAAGAGGTTACAGTTAGCGGCTGTAAGCGTAATACTGCAGTAAGAACAGCAGTCGCGCGTCGTTTCCGCTATCGCCAGCGCGATGCTGTTTTTTTAATCGATACCTCGTATTGCGCTGCAACGTTGGAGTCACTCCAAGGGGACACCGGGTTCCCCGGGCACTCCATTACGGTAAAATGGAAATAATCGGGGCACGCGGATGTCGCGAATAATTTACCGCGCGCCTGTTTACCCGCCGGTGCAAATTGGATACGCGTCCGTCGTGACTAGTACACGGCTTGTCTGCCTAACGTGTCGTCACCGCGAAGTCTCGTATTCTCGATGCGCCAGAAGCTCGAGGGAGCGAGGAGATATTCCACTGAAGAAGGATATTTTCGTCATTAAGGCCTGTAATAGTCACAGCTGGAAACTTGTTTCACTGCGAGATACTCAGACTCTGAATATAGCGTTAGATCCGAGTTTCTTCGTTAAATCACATGATATATGTGTGATTATACTCGTAATCGCTATTCAGCGGCAGAAACCTCTAACTCTAAACACAGATCTTAGTATCGTATGTGTGAGATAAATTGTATCAATTATTAATACACACGTCTAAGGCGCGTGTTAACAATTATTATTTGAAACCTGTTTCATGTGAGATATTTAGATATGAATTTGGAGTCCAATTCGAGTTTTTCCATTAAGGAAAGATCTTGGTTTAGATAGCTGAAAAACAGGAGAACGAATTTTTTTCAAAGAGATGAGCAAATATACCAACATAGAGTTTTAATTATATTATTTATCATTGCTCTAAATGTAAAAAATTTTTTATTGAAATTCCGTCCAAGTTTTTCGTACTAAGCGCAATGTCGTCGGACGCTGATGGACAACATTATAATCTGCAATGCAGATTACATATCAGCAACTTGAAAAAAATATAACTAATGAATTTAAAAACTACATTAAATTTACTACTACACTAAAATACTAAAAAACTATATTAAATTTACTACTACATTAAAAACTACATTAAAATACTGGAGGGTGAACCTAAATTTTTCGGATTATTTATAAAATTAATATTTTCTCACATTAAGTAAAAAAGAAAAAGAGAAAAAATGACCTGCAATTTCGAGGTACCATTTTCTGTTAAATTTCGACTTTTCATACATGAAAAAAACCCATCCAGCAAATTTAATATGGTTTTTAAATTTTCTTGTCTCATTTGTTGCAGATTATTACACGAGCTGTAATGTTGTCCACCAGTTAGAGGCGCCCGTCGACAACCGGCCTCAGCATAAAAAATATGGAAGATGAAATTTTAATTTTTTTTACATTAAAGAATAATTCTTTTATACTTAAAACAATGATAGAAAATACGATCAAAATCCTATATTTTTATTTATTTGTTGAAAAAATTCGTAAAAACCTCCTATCTTTTCGATTGTCTAAACCAGAACCTCTCACTAGATCGTATAATTGTATAATTATTTTTGCAATCGTGTAATACAACTGCAAAACTAATTCTAACTCTAAACACAAATCTTAATATCGCACGTGTGTGCGTGTGTGTGTGTGTATGTGTGTTTTGTATGTGTATGGATAAGTCGTAAGTTATCAATACATAAGTAAATATCAATCTCTCGTATTAATCGTATTTGAAACTTGTCTCGTGTGAGATGCTCAGATCTAAATTTAGATGTTAGATTTGATTTGAGTTTAATTGAAAGGATGATTGTAATTATGTGAGAGTTTAATTGCATGATATATATGACATCACATTTGTAATCGCAATTTAACTGGCCAACTCACATCTAACTTTAAATTCAAATCTATGTATCTCACTCAAGAGTAGTTCCAAATAACGATTATTAATAAGGGCCTAAGAGTTTCTAATGAACGATAGCTTTTATGGGTTTTATACCTGGTTCATTTCAGGTCAGTTAATCGATTCAGTCTATTGACCGAATCTATGATGTTTTTTCAAGCACATTTTACGAAATCGAAAAGCGAGTCTTTAGTAAAATAATATTTTTCATATTCTTGATTGATCCATTGATTTTTTCCCATTTTTCCTCATGTCGTATCGCTTGCTGCGAGCCAGCAAAAATAATCGCGAGACTCCGCTCGCTTTCTTTTCACTGCAGGATACAGGTCGCCATTACACCTGTGCTCCGCAAATCTGTACATCCTTCCTCTTCTTTTAAGCAAAGGTTGCAAAAGCGAGAGGCCTTTAAGCTAAACCTCAAAGTCACGATGTCAGAGTCGTGCGCGTTTTGCGACACACAGTTGATTAATTTATTAGTGCTAGACGCTTTAATTACACACAGGTCGAGGTTGGGAGAGCGACAAGACTAGTCACGACCCGAAAATCCACTCATTCCAACTTCTTCCCATCATAAAACTCACCTAACAAATGAGTGTCGCGAATCTCGCGCTCGGCAGATTTATATACCCTCCACCTACGATGCGGT